CACTGCATACGATAGAGCCACCCTTACAACCAGCCATATTGTGTCGCTTCCTTGGCCTCAGTTGTCTACATGAATTACACATGCAGCTGGTGCGTGCATCCTGCTGTGTAGTGTACATATATCATGCATGCATGCATGCATGCATGCATGCGTTTCTGTTTGTTTGATTGAGTTTGGTGCTGAGGTGTGTGTTGGGGCTGTTATATAACAGGGACGTGAAACCCGAGAATCTGATGTTCCGTCGTCGGCTGCCCAGACGTGGCAGTGGTGGTACAGCCGCCTCTCTGCTGTATCGCCTGCAGCAGGTGCATCCGCAGCAGCAGCAGCAGCGGCAGCAGCAGCAGCAGCAGCGACAGCAGCAGCAGCAGCGGCAGCAGCCGGCGCCGCAGCCGCAGCAACGGGGGATTGAGACAGCGGCTTTCTGTGGGGGTGGGTCTCCTGTGGGTCCGCGTAGTTCAGGGGCCCCGTTGCTGTCAATGGAGGAGCAGCACGAGTTGCTGCTGATAGATTTCGATACTTGTGTATTCATCGAGGACCCTATGGGGGCCCCCATGGATGCAGGGGGCCCCCAGCGGCGCCTCGTGGGTACCTATGGGTACCTGGCCCCTGAAGTACTGATCTCAGGCAAATATTCAAGAGTTTCAGACCTGTGGAGTGTAGGGGTCATCTTATACATCTTAATGACAGTGAGGCTATATATATATATATATATATATATATATATATATATATATATATATATATATATTGTTTATGCGTGTATGTGTTTGTGTAGGTTTATATATATGCATTGATCTGCGTGCAGCAATGTACACGTGCCTCCATGGGTGCCTCTGTTTGTATGTGTTGCAAATTCACGAATTTTTTTTCGGCAATTTATGTTGAATATAATATAAAAAATAAAATATAATTAAATTAAAATATTATTTTTAATATTTTATGATTAAAATTTATGTAGGGTTCTCCGCCGCTGCCTATGGAGCTGATGACGTCGGCGCGTTCTGCACTGACGGTGATAGAAGATATAGCCACACAGCACGGGGGTATAGACTTTGCTGCTGCATCTCTTTCTGAGTTTCCTCTTGCTCGTGATCTATGTATACGGCTGCTTGAACTTAACCCAAAAAAAAGAATACAAACTGCAGCACAAGCCATACAACACCCCTGGTAAGCAGAAACACACACACACAACAGCAACTGCAGCTGCAGCAGCTACACCAGAAACTACTGCAGCAGCAGCTGGGCAGACACTAGCAGGGGTGAGGCCAGCTTGCAACACCTGCAGCAGTAGCTGTATCTGCTGCTGCTGCTACTGCTGCAGCACCTGCAGCAGCAGCAAGTGTAGATGGAAGGATCTGCATGTTTGTATTTTTATGTATTGAGGTGTATACGCAGGGGTTTGTTGTGTGTGATGTTGTTCTATCTTTCTTTATATTTGTTGTTTCTGCTTTCTATCTGCTGCAGGCTCGACAACGTGAGACACCGATGGCTGCCTGCTCCCCCCGCTGTCCTCTCCCCTCCTCTGCGGCTGCATGCAGCAGCATCTGGGGGGGTGCGGAGCCGCGTTCAGCCCCCCGCTGGTGATGATGCTGCAGTTGCTCTCGCGCTGGTGGACCCAGAGGAGCCGGCAGGAAGCGTGGCGCAGCCCCCCGCAGCAGCAGCAGCAGCAACAACACCAACACCAACAGCAGCAGCAGCACCAGCAGCAGCAGCAGCAGCAGCGCCAGCAGCAGCAGCAGCGGCAGAAGATGGCGTGCCGCTTGAAAGCGAATGCTTAGAACCCCTACAGACACCCCAGAGCTCATACGGGAGGCTTGTGGAGGAGATTCCTCTGCTGCCTCCCCATGTCGTGCAGGAGCGAACAGCAGCAGCAGCAGCAGCAGCAGCAGCAGCCGCAGCAGCAGCAGCAGCGGCAGCAGCAGAAGCAGCAGTAGCAGGTATAGCAGCAACAAATCCAGCAACGACGAGGGCCTCCGATATTCTATTAACAGCCGCCTCCCCCCTGACAGGAAGCCAGACAGGAGCTCAAGACAGCAGCAGCAGCAGCAGCAGCAGCANCAGCAGCAGCAGCAGCAGCAGCAGCAACAGCAGCAGCATCAGCAGCAGCTGCAGCTCCCATCTGTATCTTCCTATTGAGGAGCGTATTCCAACTTTTGCTGCGCAGCAACCGGGCAGCAACCCAGAGGTAAGCAGCAGCTGCGGCAGCGCGGACGACAGCAGCAGCAGCAGCAGCAGCAGCAGCAGCAGCGCTGCTGCGGAGCAGCAGCAGGCGATGGGGGTCACGAGTTTGTTTGACTCCCCAGAGGGAGAAGCAGCCCTAAAGGAGAGGCCGAGAGACAGCAGCGAGTGGAGCTGCACGACTGCATCAGGAGGATACCGCAGCAGCAGCAGCAGCTGCAGCAGCAGCACCAGCAACAACGGCGGCAGCAGCAGCCTCAGCAGCAGCGAATGCGCCACAGCATCCCCCTACGGCACACCCAACTACCTCTCCCCTGCCTGCCGCGGTGTTCTGCTTCCTGAGGACTGCTGCAGCAGCAGCAGCTGCAACGGCTGCAGCATTTGCAGCAGCAGCAGCAGCCCGAGTAGCCTCATCAGCCCCAGCAGCAGCAGCCCCAGCAGCAGCAGCAGCACACACAATGCTCCTGCTGCTGTTGAGGGCTCGTTGCTTGAGCCTGAGGCAGCTGAACCTGACAGCGCGCGGTCGCCGCTGCTGCAGGGTGGGGCTGCTGGGGTGTATACGCAGCTCCCCGCAGAGGGGCGGACAGACACCGCTGCATCTCTAGGAGCCATGTACCAGCAGCAGCTGCAGCAGCTGCAGCACAGGCTGCAGCAGCAGCAGCAGCAGCATCCAGCGGCCCAGCAACTGCAGCAGCTGCAACGCATGCAACAGCTGCAGCAGTTACAGCAGCTCCAGCATCAAGAGAACGAGCTGCAACAACTGCAGCAGATGCACAGAGAGCAGCAGCAAGTGCTGCTGCAGCAGCCGCTGCCGCCAGCTGAGGGCCTCCAGAGCGAGGCAGTCTCTACCCTGGGGCCGCCGGGGGCCCCCCAGACAGCGGAAGGGTGTGGGGCCCCCTTGACGTCGAAGGAGAACTGCTGCTCCCAGCAGCAGCACAGCCACCACTGCAGCAGCAGCAGCACAGCAGCAGCAGCAGAACCAGCAGCAGCAGCAGCAGCAGCAGCAGCAGCAGCAGCAGCAGCAAGTCAGCTGGGGGCTTCGCATGTGCAATACTCCAGCAGTGGCGATCCCTTGGCGGGGGCGAGCGGCCTCATCTGCAGCTCAGCAGGGCTGTCTACCGTACCAGACCTCTCAGCAGCAGCAGCAGCAGCAGCGGCAGCAGCAGCAGAGGCAGCAGCAGCAGCAGCAGCAGCAGAAGCAGAAATGGCAGGCAAGGATGCGTAGATTGACCCGCAGAAAGGTTGACAGCTTGGGTGCCTTGCATCGAAAGTATTTATCTGGACTCCTCCACCCAGCAGCAGCAGCAGCAGCAGCAGCAGCAGCAGCAGCATCAGCAGCAGTAAGAGCAGCAGCAGATGCAGCATATCCTGCGTTTGTTTGCTGCTGTCTGTGGGGATCGCGTCCAGCAGCACTTCTTTGAAGCTGCAGCAGCAGAGCGGAGCAGCAGAAACAGCAGCACAACAGCGAGCAGCAAGCACCAGCACCCAAGAGAGACCCCAGCTAGCTAGCTAGCTAGCTAGCTAGCTAGGTTTCGTGAGTTCTATGGGGGAGGGAAATTCGAAGGTATTTGTTAACGAGGCTAGCAGCAGCACGGAGAGCAGCAGCAAGACAAGCTACAGCAGCAGAGCAGCGCAGCAGCAGCAGAAGAGCAGCGCAGCAATAGCAGCAGCAGCAGCAGCAGCAGCAGCAGGAGCAGGAGCGGGAGCAGGAGCAGCAGCCGCGTTTGATTAAGGTAGGATTGCTTCAGAAGACAGCTGTTTCGTGTTGCAGCAGGCCACAGGAGAGCAGCAGCAACAGCAGCAACAACAGCAGCAGCAACAGCAGCAACAGAAGCAACAGCAGGTGCAGCAGAAGCGGCAGCTAAACCAGAATTTGTAGTACGCGGCGCCGCAGCTGCAATCGATGGCGGCATTCAGGCTTCTGCTGCTGTCCTTTGCTGGTTTCATACACGGGCTAGGTGCAGCAGCAGCAGGAGCAGCAGCAGCAGCAGCAACTACATTAGCAGCTGCTGCTGCAGCAACGGTAGCACCGCGGGTCACCATGAGTTAAGAAATGGGAGAAGCAGCAGCGTCAGCAGCAGCAACAGCAGCAGAGTCGCCAGCAGCAGCCGCAGCCGCAGCAACAGCGGCAGCAGCAGCGGCAGCAGCAGCGGCAGCAGCAACGGCAGCAGCAGCAGCAGCAGCAGCATCAGCGCCAAGAACAGGTTGTAGCTGCGTCGTTTGCCCCCACGAATTTCTCCTTGATGAGTGAGGGAGGGACCTGTGTGCTGCTGGTTGAGCTGTACGTACACCGCAGCCTGCAGCAGAGAAATTTATGTTGGCTTAAGAGTAGAAGCAGGTTTGTGTTTAATAAAAAATAAAGGGATGCATGCATGCGAGGTGTACAGGCAGCTCAGGTGTACAGGCAGCTCATGTGCTAGTTCAGCACTGAGATACCTGCTCCCCATCTGTCTGTACACCGGAGCTGCCTATACACCGGAGCTGCGTGTACACCTGAGCTGCGTGTACACCTGAGCGCGGCGCAGCAAGGGCCGCCGCGCTGCTCTTTTGTATGGGTGGGGGTACTGACCGCAGGGATGGATTGCAGCAGGTGGGGTTGTTGTTATTTGAGTGAAAGTAAAGAAAAAAAATGTAGCAGCAGAAGAAGAAGAGAAGGGGTGGTGCATGCAGCAGCAGCAGCAGCAGCAGCAGCAGCAGCAGCAGCAGTCTGTGGCTGCTGAGGTGTACGTACAGTACACCCCACAAACTACTAGTAGCGAGAGGCCAAGGGCCTGTTTATTTGTTTCTTTTTATTATTTTCTTTGGGTCCCCCCAAAGGCATCCGCTAAGAACACCACCCCCTTTTGTTTATTTATTATTTATCGCGTTTATATTTTTGTTTATTTTTTTATGTTCACTGCTTTCTATTCATCTTTTACTTATACTCTTCTATCCTTTTATTTAATTACTAATAAAAATATAGATTATAAATAACAAAAAAAACAG